AGATTGGACAACTACACACACACACACACACACACACACACACTCACTCACTCACTCACTCACTCACTCACTCACTCAATCAGCCCAAGCTTATGTCTGCTTCACCTTGGTTCCTGTAAAACAAAGAAAGTTGCCCGCCATCCAGTTCTACAAGGATCAAGTCATTAGCCATTGCAGTCACTGACCTACAGTGCACGCTGAAAGGAATTCAGGATGAAAAACAGGATGAGGCACTCTGTGCTTTGGGAAAACAGCCTCCTTAGAGAGAGGTATCGCAGGAAAAAATTTTAATGAACCCAGATTCTTGCACTTCTCCTACGTAGGAAAGCATTAAAATCACTAACTGAGATATCTGGTCCTCGTGACTAGCAGTAACCCTTTACTGATATGTATGTCTGCCTGCGTGCATTCCCTAAAATCATGCTTCTCCCCCTACCTCCTCAGAGCTCTCTGAGAGGCTGGCTCCCAGCCTACAGTCCTCAGTAAGACCCCCGAATAAAACTTAGCTCACGACTTAATCTCACGTTGTGCATTTTTTATTTCAGTCCACAGGTCAAAACTCTTATGCTCATGTAAGATCAAATCCACATTTATTCCTGTCTTTCATCTCCAGTTTACCTAATTCTTTCCTTCTTTGAGTCTCTTAGGTGCCACCTTCTGGTGGGCGCAGTGCTATCAAGTTTGAATATCCCTCCTGGCTCCTAGGTTTTTATTTTCCGAAACATCCTCAAGTGTAAGGTGAGGAAATGTGGGGTGAGAAGTGGCCTGGAGGCAGGCTGAGGCTTGCTCTGTGGTGGGACTTGCCCACTGCAGACACATCAGCCTTGCAGCCCTCGGGTTCAAGCCCTGCAGCTGACGGCTCTGGAGGGACTTACTGAAGTGAGGGCAGTGAGGAACTTAACACTGTGTACTCTATTAAATGACCTGTTAAGTATAGAGCACTGTTTTCAAATTGTGCCATTGTTGTATTTTCTTGGTTGACTTTTTTTTTTTTCGGTATGCGGGGCTCTCACTGTTGTGGCCTCTCCCGTTGTGGAGCACAGGCTCCGGACGCGCAGGCTCAGCGGCCATGGCTCACGGGCCCAGCCGCTCCGCGGCATGTGGGATCTTCCCGGACCGGGGCACAAACCCGCGTCTCCTGCATCGGCAGGCCGGAGTCCCAACCACTGCGCCACCAGGGAAGCCCCTGGTTGACGTTTTAATACATTTTTTTCAAACTTTAAAGAATGTGCACTGGTTTGGGCTGTTGTTTTATATTTAGAGTATGAACTTCACACCGTTTCTTTTTTTTTTTTTCCCCACCACCCTTTTTTTTTCTTTTAAACCAGAGACATCTCCTCTTGAAAAAAATATCTTAGGATGAAGCTTCAAAGGAATCATTCAACAGTGAAGAGGCTCCAGTTAAAACAGTTGTGTTCCCCACCCACTTTCCCCTCCTGCCCTTGAGGCCCAGAAGACCCACCCCCTCCAAGTGTAAATGAAATATACTTTCAAGACTGCTGCAGGAGGCCCTTCTAGTCCACTGGGGAACTGAAAGAAGGACCAGGGAATGGACCATCTGTTTATAAAAATGAGCGCATGCATGATGACCCTTATCTCTAGGTGGAGTTTCCAGTACTTTTCTTGTTTGCTAATTTTCCAAATTGGAACATATTTTTCTTGTGTAGCTTTACAATTTTTGAGTTACAAATATACATACCAATTGAAAAAAGATAGCATAATAGAAAAAATAGCTTATAGCATCATGGGATTATGGGTGACGATTTGTCCTTTTATGTTCCAAAATGTCTTCAACTGTAACAACAGAGAGATTCAGGGAAAACAAGATGAGCTGATGAACTTTAGTAATTTACTGACTAGCAGCCCAGGTTTCTAGAAGGTTTAATAGAAATAAATGCAGCATTTATAAAATTTTTCTAAAAGTATAAAAATTAATATGCTGCGAAAGCTTTTCACAACTTGCAGCAAGGTGCCTGCTGCGATTGTGCTCCCACCATCCCACGGAGACGATCTTCCTTGACAATTACATTTTAAAGGGATGGCTGCTAGGGACTTGAGAAGGATTGTCTTGGGCTGTAAAATAGGAAAGAGGCTTTTCAAAATGTTTACCTCTCAAAGGAGCAGAGGAAGAACTTACAATGACAAATTGCCTAAAGTAAGTGCTCTAAGGAAAGAGAGGTCAGGCACCAGAGGCAGGAAGAAGCTTGTCTAAAGTTTAGTCAAGCTTGGGGGGAAAGTGAAGCCTGGATCCAGAATTAGTGCCTGATTCAAAGTGTGCGTCTGATGACTGGAGATTTGGGCTTCATGTTCTACCTCCGTGCCCAGGGGCTCCCTTCACAGCTCCCAGCCCAGTTTCAACAGCTCCGGTGGAAAATGGTGTATTGTTTTCGAGTCCTTCTGATTTAAAGTAAATTTCGTGTCTTCCCAGGAGCCCACATTTTAGGGCAGACCATCCCAGAAAAACCCTCCAAAATCTGTTGAAATCCATCCGGCTGTTTTCATGTGACATCGTGACAGAAATGTCATTTTTATTTATAGTATATTATAATTCATAGAACATTGCTTATAAATTATGCCAGAGACAGCAAACTGAAGAACTATTAGTCATAGGGGGATTTATCTTACAGTTCTGGAGGTCAGAAGTCCGTAAGATATTGGCAGAGCTACATTTTAAGTCTGGAGGCTCTAGGGCAGAGTCCGTTCCCTTGCCTTTTGCAGCTCCCAGAGGCTGCCTGCGTTCTGTGTCTCCACACCGTCCTGACCTTTGCGTCCATCCTCACTTCTCCTTCTCTGGCTCTGACCCTCCTGCCTTCCTCTTATAAGAAGCCTGTGATTACACTGAACCCACCTGATGATGCAGGTGACTCCATCTCAAGGTCCTTAGTCCAGTCACATCCGCGCAGCCCTTATTGCCGTGTAAGATAACATCGCCACAGGTTTTGGAGCTTCAACACGGATGTCTGGGGATGCAGTTATTCTGCTGCCCATACCCAGTGTCCACAGACAGGGCTGGAGGTGTGACTAGTGACTAGTGCGCAGTGGCGAGTGGAGGGCATGGCTAACGTGCTTCTGTGTTGTGCTTTGGGTACAGACCTTCACTGATGGATGATCTCTGTGAAGCAAATGGCACTTTTGCCATCAACTTATTAAAACTGCTGGGTGAAAAGGACAACCTGCGAAACGTGTTCTTCTCTCCCCTGAGCCTCTCCTCTGCCCTGACCATGGTCTTAATGGGGGCCAAAGGAAACACTGCGGCGCAGATGTCCCAGGTATGCGTGCCCACCACAAAGGAAGACCAAGGGCGGGCTTCCTCTGTGCTTTCATAGAGCTGGTCTGTTCATCCTTCACTCCAGCTGATGGAAGCCAGTGAGGCTGGGAGGTGGGAGGGGCACCGTGGTGAGGGAGAGAAAGCGGACATGGGTGGAAAGGTGAATTGTGTAAGACGGAATCTCCTGCTAGTTTTCATGGGAGAAATCAAGTCACTATGTTATTTTCTGCATCTTTGATAAGAAAGGTGAACTAAAATTCTGTTCCACAAAAAGGCCAAGAATTTCCACTTTGTTCTGTTTTAAACTTTTGCTAACATTGTATTTCAAATTGAAATGCAACTGTGTAAATGAACCTTTTTGTTAAATCGGTTGTTTCTAGTGTACAATTATGCATAAGTGGAAGACGAATGCAACACAAATGAGGACTTACATCTTCTGGAGTTTTTTAGAGGGAATATATTATCTGATTGATCTGAAATGGGTTATATGTGCACTTAGCTACCAATGAAGTAGTGGATATTACTTTAGGAAAGTAGACCTTCCCCTATTTATGTCTTAGTTGCTTTGACTGTCTGGTGAATGTATCCCAGAAAACTGTCATATACACATCATGTTCCCACTAATAGCGGGGTGCGCAGACACCCCCCAGAAGCGTGTCCACGGCCACAGTTGAATCCCTGGTGGCTCTTTCTTCCAGCTCCCTGGAGGAATGAGGCTTTGGACTGGGGTTGTTGGGAGGTAAGGGAACAGCCTTGATTCTCACTCTGACCTGACATTTAAGTCACAGTCTGGTCGGGAGGACTTCTGTGGAATTGCTAATGAAACAGTTCTGCTCATCTTGTCTTCTGTGGGTCATTCCCGCTACCTGTTTGTTCTGTTCTGTCTCCCTCCTGAGTTATTACGTGCTGTCTTCCTGGCATAGGTAAATCTGCTAGAGCAGGGCTTTCCACCTGGGGGCGATTTTTCCTCCCTGGAACAGTTGACAAAGTCTGGACAGAGTTGGTGGTCATAACCAAGAGGTGCTACTGACATCTAGTGAGCGGAGGCCAGAAATGCAGCTAAATGTCCTAGACGCGCAGGCTAGCCCCCCAACGGAGTGTGCGGCCCCGAAAGTCTGTGCTGCCAGGTTGAGGAACCCTGTGCTAGACGGTTAAACGAAACTCATTTTAAAATAGGATTCGCGGTGATTTTCAGTGTAGGAATTTGTTTGGAAATAGCTCTTTGGGGGAGAAATGGCATGTCAGAAGTTGCCGTTCTCGTCTTCTATTACCAGGCACTTTGTTTGAACAAAGGTGGAGATGTTCACCAAGGATTCCAGTCACTTCTCATGGAATTGAACAAATCTGGCCCTCAGTACTTGCTCAGAACTGCCAACAGACTCTTCGGGGAAAAGACATGCGATTTCCTGCCAGTAAGTATTGCTCGCACACTGATGAAAAAGAAATTGAAAATAATACAGAAACTACAGAAGAGCAGAGATAAAGTGTAGCTCTGCTGCCTTAAAAATGTGCTTTGGGCTTCCCTGGTGGCGCGGTGGTTGAGGGTCCGCTTGCCGATGCAGGGGACGCGGGTTCGTGCCCCGGTCCGGGAAGATCCCACGTGCCGCGGAGCGGCTGCGCCCGTGAGCCATGGCCGCTGAGCCTGCGCGTCCGGAGCCTGTGCTCCGCAACGGGAGAGGCCACAGCAGTGAGAGGCCCGCGTACCGCAAAAAAAAAAAAATGTGCTTAGAATTATATTTTGTAATTTTGAATTTTATGATTCCTTCTGAATTCTGTCCTTTGAAAAAGTATTGTCTCTGATACATCTTCCCAGATATCAATTTCAATTTGTCCATCTTCCTGCACCCAGACCTGCCTCTCCCCCTTGATCCCCTTCTCAGTGACCACATCACTCTCGCCATCCCCTGATCTCATCTCTGATTGTTGGGCTGTTTCTGTGGAGCTGGCCTCACAAAGTCTCTTAAATTTGTCCCGTCTTCTGAATCACCACCACCATTGCCTGGGTCCAGACTCTCACATCTTCTACACTGTTACTTTAATTGTTTCCTAATGGATCTCTCCAAATTCAGCCTAGTCTTTTCACACTACTGACAGAATAATCTTTCTAAAATTAAAATCTGTTCATAAAAAATAAGGTTTTGAACCTGGGTAGTTCCTATTTACTGCAACATATAATTCCAAAGCTCCCCAGTCCAGTAAAAGCCTGCCATTGTTCAATAAGTGAAGTCCAAAAAATTATGCCACATAATATGCAGAGTGATGCTATCTTAAGATTAATGAATGATCAGGACAAGTCTGGCCATCTTATTGGACAGCAGTTCCAAGGGTTATTTTGTTAGACTCAGATACAGTCGTGTTCTAGCCGCTGTTGGGTGCTACCCTGTGGAGGTTGCCTGCTCTGGGCTTAAATATTATTGGACATGATTCTGGATCCCTCAGCTAGTTAGGTTTTCTAGGATGAGCACTCATGATTCCAGGAATCTCCTGGTTAATTGATATTCATTTTTGAATATCAGACTGACCTTGGAATACTGTAATTGGGGAATACTGGGGACACAGGGAACCATTCTCTTGGTTGCTTGGGTCCTTCTTCTCTCTACATCTTCTTTCTTCTATAGAAGCTAAAATGTTTGAGAACAGGAGATGGGCGGAGGATGGGAGCCCATTGCCAGGCACATTATATCAGAAAACAAGTTTTCATGAGGTGAGTTATCCTTGGGTTTTAATGTATTGCATATAACAACCTTCCTGATTTTATCCCAACTTATATTCCATGGCTCATCCCTTGTCACTGTTTTCCCTAATACCCTACACACACACACACACACACACACACACACACACACACACACACACA